GGCAAGCATACATCCTGAAGGCCTGCGCCATTGCGCCGCCCCCTGGCGGAAGGGGATTTGCGACGATACCCTGGGTTTCTTGGGTGCCCCGGGGAGGGCAACGTGAAGGATGAGGAGACTGATGAGATGCGGATTAGGAGCAGGAGGAGGAGGAGGAGGAGGAGGAGGAGGAGGAGGAGAAGGAATGAGAGAGGGCCTGCCAGGAGTTGGACCGAGCCAGGGCGTCGCAGGTCTGGCATGAGCCTGGACCAGTCAACCGTATTTGTGCTGCGATGTGTTGCCACCGCGGCCAGTAGTGAGCACACGCGTCTCCCACCCCTTCAGCCCCTGCACCATGCGGGTGCTCGGTGGAGCTATGGCCTCGACGCTCGTGTGCCCGAGCACTTGTGGGCAATCCGGGGCGCTCTTGGGGTCCTCTTGGGGCCCTCCTGTTCTTGTTTGTGTCTTGACTCCCCAAGATCTCTTGTGCCTCTGTTGTGCCATCTTTGGCTTTTCTGTGTGTTTTTCGTGCTCTCTCGGGGGCCTTTTGGGCTCATCGTGGGTCTCTCGTGGCCTCCTCTTCGGCTTCGTTGATCTCTTCTCGGGCCACCTCGCGGCCATCTTAAGGCCTCTGCGGCTCATCTGACCGAGCGGAGATGAGAACGCAAAGCCCATGGTGAACATCGTGCTTTTTCAGTCTTGGGAAAGTCTCCTTGCAGGAGACTGCTGGGCCATCGTGGAGCGATCTGTTGGCGAACTGGGGTCATTGTGGAGGCCGTCTTGGCAATCTTGGACGGTTGAGGAGGGCATCTGGGTTTGCCTTGGGCACGCTCAAGTCAGGTGGAGCGTTTTCTTGTTTGGGGGGGAGGGAGAGGAGGGGGGCACCAGGGGTCGGTGATACCACGTGAGTCATTCGACCCACGAGATGCGTAGTTCAACTCGTGGGCCTTCCACCTCAAATGATTCTTTGCATTCCGATGAAAAGGCGTGCGTGAGAGGGCACAGCCACACAAGAATCTCACACCCACGTGTCGCCACACTCTTCGAGCGCGTTGAGGCAGTATATCTAGTTGGCGCGATTCCGGATTTGTCCGCAGCCATGCCGATTGCAAGGCGAGGCGCCGTCCACTCTGAAATTACTCACGCCGACAACCTGGCCCACCGACCCATTCGCTCTGAGGAACAGGAGTGCTCGAGGAACCCACTGTTGTTCGACGTTTCTTTTCCACATGCAACACCATCGGGCTGCTCCCAAGACAGCGACAAAGGAGGCAGTGAGACACCCTATGCAAACGGCATCACGAGTGAAACGGCGAGGTCCTGAGCAGAGCAAGAGGAAAAGGAGGAGCAGCAGGAGGAGGAGGAGGAGGAGGAGGAGGAGGCGACTGACCAGAGCACGTCAGGTCTGCAAGTGGGCAGGGGGGCTCTTGGGGCGTCTAGGGCATGTCTCCCCCTGGCCACAACACCCTCTCAGCGACGGCGCGCTGAAAGGCGAGCCCCAAAATGCCATACCACGTATGTTGCAGACATGGTGCGGCACCTCCTCTCAACCTCGCGTGCAGATTTCGTTTCTGCTGGTGTGCCAAAGTCGGCACGAGGGCGATAATTTGTCCGCCCCCTACATGCCATCTGTTTCGGCACCCAAGCATTGAAGATTGCCTGGCCCGCTGCTGGTGACCTCAGTGTAGGTGGTACCATTGTCCCGCTGTACTCGTTCCAGTACAGTCGGACCGAGGTATCATATCGATGTCGCTTCGGGGAGGGTGTCCTAGTGTTCTTCGTGTTTGTTGA